CAGACGCTATATATATATATATATATATATATATATCGCTCCCGCTGCAGAGCTACTGTTCTTTGTGTGTTGTTTTTTACTCCCCGATCACTCACAGGTGACATGACGACAAATAAAACAAACAAGGCGTTACTGCGTAGAGGGTGTATATGAGTGGTGAGGAACAATAGACACTGATAACGCGGCTTATGTGGTGCGCATGTCGAGAGGCTGATAGAGTTGTCTTCTTTTAAGCTTGCTAGTGCAGGGAGCTAGAACACTGGGCTTAGCCCGCAGGCAGATGGGGAGCAACAGTCAGTAGGATGAGTATTCTCTGAATTGAGATGGAGAAAGAGAGTGAGAAGAAGGGTGAATGAAAAAATGCCAATGAGCTTGCCAAGTGCGGTAAAACGAGCTAAGCAGAGAGGGTGCTGCTGCTGCGAAAACATTGGCAGGAGGATGTTGTTGGTGTGTGGCATCAGGGGGNGGGGGGGGGGGGGGGGGGTGCGCGGTAGAGGTGCTTGAGGAAAATGGAAAAAGAGCGGCTTCATTGCACCAACCCCGTGCGTTTTCCTTTTCTCTCTTCCGTATGTGTTTGTGTATGTTTCGTTTCTATTATGAAAGGTCACGCAAGTCTACTTGTTCGCGACATTTTTTTTCATTTTCTTTGTCGCCCTCCCGTCGTTTTGTTCAAGCCCACTTCTCTTTGTGCGGTGTGTCTCAACGTGGATCTGCCTCACACCGAATGTGGTGAGAGGGTATGCAGAAGTGGACGTGGAGGAAGCGGAATGCGTGTGTGTGTCTCCAACGTTCCTATCATCAGGTCTTCTTCATTGGTGGGTTAATTGCTTTGTTTCCAAATTCCCCCGTCCCGACGAACCTGTTCAGTGCTCACAAGCCCTTTCCTTCTGTCGCATGTCTTTGTCACCACCTCTTGGGGTCGCTACATTTGTCGGGCATGGTCTTCGTGTCTGTTCGTACCCTGCCACGCTTCTGGAGGTGTAAAGGACTGTGTGTGTGTGTTCCCATTTGTAGGAGCGGCGTTTGGGGCGAGGACGCAGTCAAACAGAATGACGCTGAATAAAATGCTGCACANCTGTGTGTGTGTGTTCCCATTTGTAGGAGCGGCGTTTGGGGCGAGGACGCAGTCAAACAGAATGACGCTGAATAAAATGCTGCACAGGTTTGTGTTACTTTTCAGCATCTCTAAGCGACTTGGGTGCGACGCTGCCTGCCTCCTCTCGGGGGTAAAAGTTTTCTTTGCCCGCACGCTTCTGCTTATTTCCCCCCTCTCTCTCTCCTTGCCTTCATGTTTAACATCACAGAGCAACTAACTGCAGAAAAGAAAAGTACTCTCACGACAACCGGTACTACAGGAAGAGAGATGCCCTCGCACGCGTCTGCCACTAAAACTGCCACGGGGGGCTGCACCGAGGTCTTTGATCCGAATTTCAAATACATGTACATGGTGCCATCGCACTTGGTGGTGCACACGCCACCAGCGCGTCTGAACATTTCTCGCCTTGTTGCTTGTCGTAACTATGTGCCTGGTAAAGAGGGCTCGTGTACGAAGGAAGAGAGGTGCCGCTTTGTTCATGCCGACGTGGACTTCGAGACGCTGGAGGCGCAGCCGATTCATGTGAATTACATCTGGCGTCATGAAGACTTGTGCACGTACGACCGGCTTCCACCCGGGGATGTTCTTGAAGTGGTTTCACGAAGCGGGAGTCATAAAGTTGATTTAATTCCAAGTGAACGCATTCTTGTGACACGGCGGGCGTTGGCTTGTCGCGACGCCAATGCCTGGCCGCTTTCGCACTGTGTCCACTACTACTGCAATCGCATGTGCAACCGTGGCGAAAATTGCAACTTCATTCATGCTGTGTATGTTGACCCGAATTCTCGTGGTGATTTTAAGCGTGCGCCTGTTCAGCCGATGCCGCGGGTAAATACATCCACACAGTCAACACGAACAGATAATTCTGATTTGTCTTCTGTTTGGATCAATCAGTTCAGTATGAATGGCACAAGATACAGCGCTTTGTCGAATGTCAATCGTGCCGCTGTGCAGGTGCCAGTTCAAACTCTAATGGCGGAGTCCGGCGCTGTTTCCTTACCAGGTGTGGTGCAAGAGACGGAGCCTCCCTGCATGGAAGCTTCTGGTGTGTCTGCTGTAAGCGCCACGTCTGCACCACTTGAGGGTGGTGTGACCTGTCTTCAGCGGAGTGGTGTTTCCCCCAGCACGGGAAGTGAAACGTTTTCCTCCCTGCAGCTTTCCACAACGGACGGAGGCCGGCAGCGTTGCCTTAGCGTTAGTTACAATACGATTCCTCAGGCCTCGGTGAAGTTTCCGTTGGGAATGCCTTCTGAAGTCAACAGTGTCTCTTACATGTCAGGTAAGGGTACCAATAACATGGGTCGCCAGGTCTTGAAATCATTGGAAGGGTCCATGGGTCGATGCTTCGTGGAGAGTCCTGCCGGTTTTACTGCCTCGCCTGCCACGCCGATGCAAGAGTCTGGCGCCCTTACTCACTTTTCTCTTGCCCCTTCACCCTACCAGATGCCGTTGAGCTCGCCGTATGATGCCAGTTTCACCATGTGGAACGGCTCGATTCGTACTCTCTCTGGAGGTGAGAACCACTCCATGCCGATGGGCCAACGTCCCCGCGCATACCGACACAATCCCTACCTCCCAGTCCAGCGGGCACCTGAGACAGCAATAAGTGGAACTGCAGATCTGGCGTAGGTTGAAATATGCTGAAGGGTACGTAGGAAGGGGGAACTCTGCTGAGAAAAGTTAAGGGAAAGGGGATGGGAGGGCGAATTGTCTGGCGGCAGTGTTCATTGATTAGTTGTGTGATTGGAAGAGGGTGAAAAACGAAAGGGCAATTAGCATGAGTAGTGCAAGAAGAGCGGGACATCGGGACGTGCATATACACGCACATTTTTCGGGGAGGGGTACATCCCAAGAGCTTGTTTCTGGGATGTGCGCCTTCCGGTGCGCCCGTTTCTTCTTCATCTTTTGCCGCTCTCCTACATTTAATTCCTCACCCTTCTAACTCTTTGGAGCTGTTGCCCAGGCCGTATTCGATGGGTTTGGTTCGTTCGTCACACACCGTGGATTTATTTATTTTTTTTTCAAGGTCATTTGGGCGGCCCCTCGTTACTTTTCTT